TTTTATTGTTATAATTAACGTTATGTACATTTTGTTTTACTTAAAAATTCTTGACAAATAATTTTGGATGTTTAGCTTAATTATATGCATTTTAAATGCTTTGATATTATTTACTGTATATTTGCCGTAAATAATGCACAAAATTTATTGAAATCCAAACATCTCCTTCATGTAAAAGTAGCCCTCATAAGCATTTTCGCCCCATTGCTAGTCAAATAACACACACATATTAAACTTCAATTATCACCATGAGCAATTAATTGCAAAATATACAACATTAATACAAACCATAAACAGTTTCTTATCGATGGGAAGACTGATGCCATCGCTTACATCGTTTTTGATGGAAAACACCACCAAAAACATAATCGCAGCCAAAGAGAAGAGTTTGGCCTCTCTTAAGATGTGATCAATTGAATTGACCGGATTATTGGCAAACTTCGGGCCCAATAGTCGTATCGACTCTTCGACATATATTTTCAACAACCCTTTGATTGTCTCGTCGTTTGGATACTTTTGGATGTCTTTCTCTGATTTGCCGAATTCGCTGAAAGTGCGGCCCCACTCAACCAAAATGGTGCCGAAGTCAAAGCCCCGCCACCCGTACGCCGAGTACTCGAGATCGCAAAACAGTATCTCGTCGTCGGGTTCGGTGACCATTATATTACTGCCCCGAAAGTCGTGGTGCGAAAACATGCCATAAGAATGTATGGACCCAAATGGTTCAATAATCTCGATGCAAATGGCAATGTTTTGCAAAATGAAAGACTAACTGATCTGATCATTGCTCTTATGGTGTCTGAGAATAAATTGGGACCAATGATTCACGGGCTCTTTGAACATGGACAAATTCAGGAGTTTATTGAGGTATTTATATTTTATATACTAAATAATAGTAAATTAAAGCTACTAAATATTACTTTAGATAATAATTATTATTTTCATTACGACTAAAGCACCGACAGTTTCGAGTCCCGGAGCAAAACGACCCTCAATTGAGCGCCGAGTTGTTCAAGAAGTTGGCGCGCGTGCAGGCGATGGATGTGCCCATTAAGAGGACCAACAACTGGTTATTTGAGTACTTAAACAGCTCTTACGATAAGGCCGTCAAATGCGGATCATTTGATTTGTGCGAAGAACTCAAATGCGAAACATTGAATGCACGATATTTGCAAACAGAGAATCAATGGATTATAAAGACCATTGAGTCTATCGGTAGTCCTATTGTCTTCTCACACAACGACTTCAGAGGCAATAATATAATGATTACTAAAAACAAACAAAATAACACCGAAAGTATAGTTTTGTGTGATTTTGAGTACTCGTGTTATACATACCGGGGCTTTGATTTGGGCACTATTTTTGCCGAATGGGGTCGAGGTTTGAATGATTTCGCAAAACAACATGATTTCCCCGAAGACAGTGTCGTCGAGACTTTGATTCAACACTATATCGACGAATCGGTCGCTATTTTTGGACCAAAATATGCTGAAAATAAACTGAATTCAACTCAACAATTGGTGAAAGAGGTGAAACTGTTTACTTTAGCCGCCTATTTGTTTATGATCATGTTGATAATACAAGATCATGAAGGCGAAGATGGTCTACCAATGGATAAGAAATTAATGATTGTAAGTTTTGTCAGCATTTTTATGGGTTAACTGTTTTTATTTTTTATTAAATAGGGTTTCGCTGAAATCTGTTTCAAGAATTACATGCATTTGAAAAAGCAGTTTTTGGCTCAACAGGCTTTTTAAGGAATGAATTAACCAGGAGGACATTGGCTATCGTATTTTACAGTATCAACATAAATTCAAAATTATTTTTGTCAATACCAAATCCTTATTTTCCATATATAATAACATTTACGAAATTATAATTAAAATAATTTGAAATAATAAAATGATGATTATGTGAATTTTATCTTTAAACGTTTTATAAAAGAGTATTTATAATTAAGAAATTCGTGAATCTATCAATGCATTCAACACTAAATTATCAACGTTTTATCAATGTTTCAAACTTTAGTTAATAGCCCTAAACATTGTACTGTACAATATACAGTATCTTTAATATGTTATCTAGATAAATTATAAACTTTAATTTTAAATTACCAAACTTGTATTAGTCTAAATTGAATATATATATTGAATGAATTATATGAAATTGGTTAAATTGTTAATGAAAAATAAAATAGTTTTATTAAAATAACTGTAAAAGCTGTTTAACTAAACAAGAATTCTGGATAATATATAAAATATGTTGTGTCAACACTACTTACACGATATGTTTGTTACATACTTATCAGAATATTGTAAAGTATGTAACAAACATATTGTGTAAGTAGTGTTGCATAATATGTTGCAGAATCTGCTATCTATTGTGTAACATATTATGCAACGCATGCGTTGTTACTGTGTTGTAGATAAACATTGCGATAATATAATGGATCACATATACACATGGTGATTTTTGAAATATTTATATATTTATACGGATTTAGATTATGAGACAACCTATTATCAAAAATCTTAAGTTTTCTAAATGTGATCGTGGTATTTTAGTTTTTATGACAACTAATAATAATCAAAATAAAATCATTATTTGCTTTTATACATGATATTCAATATTGAATTTTAGTAATTAAAAAGCAATTATAGAAAGAAAGAATTGTATCATTCAATTAAAACAAACAATGGATTCAAAGGGTGTTTCCTATGATAAGAAGGAATCAAAAGACGCGACCAATTCTGATGACTCGAAAGAATTAAAGTTAAGAAAAGGCGAAACACCCGAAGGTATTGAAGAGAAATGTTTGCAATTATGCAAAGAGTATTTGTCGGGCGTTTGGACACAACAAACGGTCGATACAATCAGTTTCCGAAGAATCAGTGGAGGAATGACTAATCAGTTATACTATTGCGGTCTTAAAGCCGACACCGATGTCAGTGGTAATGATGTAAAAGAAGTGGTGATTAGGCTCTATGGCACCAAATTTTCAAAACTTTTTATCGAAATGAGCGATAACTATAAGAACGAGAGGTTAAGTGATGTGATCACCACTCTTATGGTGTCAGACAATAAATTGGGGCCAAAGATATTGGGACTCTTTGAAAACGGACAGATCCAGCAATTCATTGAGGTATTCATATAATAACAACCAAAATATTGAATAACAATTAAGACATTTACGGTATATAAAGAACCGACATTTTAAAGTCCCGGAGCAAAAGGACCCGCAATTGAGCGCACAGTTGTTTAAGAAGATGGCGGGCTTTCACGCCATGGATGTGCCCATCAAGAGAACCAACAGCTGGTTATACGATAACTTCTTTGACAACTTCTACGACAGAGCCTTCAAAGACGGCTCATTTGATTTGTGCGATGAACTCAAGTGCGAGACATTGAATGCACGGGATTTGCAGACAGAGATCCAATGGCTTAAGGCGGCCATCAATGCCATCGGCAGTCCAATTGTCTTCTCGCACAACGATCTCAAAGGCTATAATATAATGGTTACAAAAGTCAATAACAAAGAGGGGGTAATGCTATGCGATTTTGAGTACTCGTGTTACTCATACCGGGGCTATGACTTTGGCACTGTATTTGCGGAATGGGACCATCATGATTATACTAAACTTCATGACTTTCCCGATGATAGTGTGATCGAGACATTGGTTGGCCATTATATCGACGAATCGGTGGCTATTTTGGGGTCAAAATATGCGGACAATAAAATCAATTCAGTTCAACAGTTGATGAAAGAGGTGAAACTGTTTACTCTGGTCTCCAATATGGTTAGCGTGATGTTTGGCATACAGAATCACCAAGGTGATGCCGCTATACAAAAGGATGGAAATAGAATGATGGTATGTATTGTTGTATATTTTTATTTTAAGTTTTGTTAACGATATATTCAATTTGTATTAATTAGGGTTTGGTTGACATCGCTTTCAAAAATTATTTCCATTTGAAAAATAAGTTTTTGGCTCAAAATGTGTTTTAATAAACTCCTGTTTTAATAAATATAGAAATTAATACATTTTACTATACTTTTATACAGCAAATAGAATATAAAATAATAGTTAAATATTTAATTGTGCACATAATTTGCATGAATACATATAACAAATATTGTTTTATTATTTATTAAATTTTTATGAATTTGAAATTATTGATAAACAAATTAAAGTTTTTTATAACGACGAAATGGCAAAGCAATTATGAAACAAATTAAAACAATAAAATGAATAATTCAATGATTTATAAATTATTATAAAAAAAATAGTTGCCCGACAAGTATAAACTATCACTAATTTTTCACTAAATATTGCCGCATCAATTATACATCATAGTACTGTATTGTACCAGGACATTTTATTAAAGCAGAATTTAAATAATATACAAATTTTTAATACTCTTTTATTATTTTTACCAATTATTAAAATAGTCCTTGGTTGATAATATTAAAAACACAGTAACCATTGATCGGAAATGATATCACTATTGAATACTGTAGTGTTTGTTTAATATGACTGCCTAGTGATACTGTTCCGGAAAATTACATTCTATGACATTCTAGTGCATTTTAGGTGTGCATGATTAGATTAGATTTAAATAGTACTTAAAAAGTTCATTTTATTCACATTATAAATAGTGTTAAATACTAAAATTATATTGTGTATTTAGTAATTCATACGGTCATTAATATAACCACGTTAATTAGTAATATTATAATATAGTTATAAAATTAAATACAAAATTTTTATTAACGTAAAATATTGAGCAAAAATGTCAGAAACCCAGAGTAGAAATGTTTCAAATAAATCAGAAGAGATTGAAAGTGTGGAAGAGTTTAATTGGGATAAAATGGCAAAAGTGAAAAGTGAAACACCACCACATATGAGGGATAAGTGTTTGAAGTTTTGCAAAGACTATTTGGCCGACAATTGGACCAAACAAACAGTGGACACAATTGAATGCAAACGACTGAGCGGTGGTATGACTAATCAGCTCTATTATGTAGCCATTCGGGAGCCATCGTTCACGAGTATAGCCCCTCAAGAGGTGGTCATAAGGATATATGGGAGCAAACATTTCAATAATTTAGACAATACTAGTGATGAGAGACTCACAGATGTTATCATTGCTCTAATGGTCGGCGATATTAATTTAGGGCCAAAGATATACGGAGTTTGTGAATGGGGACAGATTTTACATTATTATAAGGTATTGGAATTTTAAATTAAAAATAAACATTGTATTATAACAACTTATGCTGTAATCTTTATGCATTTATCATTAAAAGCACCGACAGTTTAGAAGCGATGAGCAAAATGATCCAAAATTATCAATTAATTCATTTAAAAAATTAGCAAAACTACATTCTCTAGACGTTCCCATCAAACGAACCAATAATTGGTTATTTGAATATTTCGATAATTTTTACGAAATGGCTTTCAAAGAGTTTCCAATCAATGATATGATTGAGGAATATAATTGTCAAACACTGAAGAAACACGACCTGAAGGCAGAGCTTGAATGGATGAAGAGTACAGCCATCGGATCCAAGAGTCCGATAGTATTCTCTCACATCGACTTCAGAGGAAGCAATATAATGGTCACCGAACCCAACGATGAGATAATTCTATGCGATTTGGAGTATTCCGGGTATGGGTTCAGGGGTTTTGATTTCGGCACTATATTACTCGAGTGGGGCCGAGGCATGAGTGCTATCAACTCATCACATAAATACGCCGACGATATCATATTAGAGCCCCTCATAAAGGCATACATCGAAGAATCCGTACATATATTTGGCGAAAAGTTTGCCAAAAATGAATTCAATTCTTACGATCACATCCTAATGGAAGCGAAAGTGTTTAGTTTGGCGGCCAGTCTTTGGATTGTATTGTTTTGCTTAAGAAATGATGAAAAGAGCGAAACAGCACTTCCAGTTAGTAAAAAAATTATGATGGTAATTATTACTGTTTAATTTAACTTAATTTAATACATAGGGCACTTTTTAACTAAATATTTATTTTATTTATTTTTATTTCTAGGGATTTGCGGAATTAAATTTTAAAAATTATTTCAATTTTAAGCGCATGTTTTCCGAACAAACGTTATTTTAAATTAAATAATTTAAATTACCAATTGTTATCATTGATAACTTATCAATGTTTAATATTAACAATAATTGGTCATAATTATCAATAATTGATCATAATTATTAGTCTGATTGACAACTCTGTACTAATGTATAAATAAATATTGTGCTTAATGACAAATGAAACCTGTTTTATAATAACTATAATCTTTTTAAAATGTGAAATGTTTAGTAAAGTTTCCACAATTTTCTTTTGATAATCCTTGAAATTAAATGCTATATAAATAGACGGACATAGAGTTAAGTTATTGAAAAGTATTATAACTTATATTCAATAATAATATCTTTGAACAAATTGTAAGATTCAATGGACACTCGAGTGGAGAGAAAATTGTCGATAGAATTGATACCAGAAGTGAAAGGTTTGAAAGACGTTAAGACTTTGGATGACTTGGATTTCGGAAAGTTAGAGCTCACAAGAGGTGACACTCCCGACGATATCAAACAGACATGTCTTCAGTTGTGTAAAGACTATTTGGGAGACAAATGGACTCAACAAACGGCGGACAGCATTGACTTTAAACGACTGGCCGGCGGTCTAACCAATCAATTGTATTACTGCGCGATCAGTAAGCCCTCAGTGGCCAGCGATGAACCGCATGAAGTGGTCATTAGAATATACGGACCAAAACATTTCAACAATAAGGACCATGGTGGCAATGAAAGGTTAACTGATGTTATTAACACATTATTGGTTTCTGAGCAAAAATTGGGCCCAAAAGTGTACGGCCTGTTTGAAAGCGGACAGATTCTGGGTTATTATAAAGTAAGCAAATTAATTGAGTAAATACTATATCCATATTTATTATAAGTTACAATGCAATTTATAACAATATAATAAGCTATAATTTATTTAGTACAGTTTATAAAGTTTAATTTACTTTTGAAATGCAAAGCACCGGCAATTTCGTCTGGAGGAACAGTCAAAGCCAGAACTGGTCGCTCAGGTATTCAAAAAGTTGGCTCAAATTCACGCCATGAAAGTTCCCATTAAAATGAGTCACAACTGGCTGTTTGACGATTACGAGCGCTTCTACCAAATGGGTTACGAAAAGTTTCCCATCAATGATATGATCGCTGAACTCAATCTCCAGACATTCAAGAAATACGNATTTGTCTCACATCTCAAGACATTGACAATACCTTTGCATTGAAAGTGATTCCCAACCGAAACTCTTCCTCCGACCTCAACGGCACTCTCGAGTCCAGCAAAGCGTCAGACAGTGTCGAGTATTGACTCTTCATCTCATCGGCCACTGCTATACGCGACCATCGATGAGACAATCACCGGATCTGACCATCGCTTCCATCGCCCAAAACACAACACTTTCACTCAATGCAAGTCAACTCCAAAACAATAACAATAAAAAGTGTGCCATAAATGATGTGATGCTTAATAATGACTGCAATTGTGCTGTTGTGACAATAGTTACCGCTTGGCTGTACTCTCGCCTATAGTCTAGACATGCATTCCATTACAGCATCGCTCGTAATGATGGCAATGAGAGCACAGGTGAGCGCTATTGTTGAACAGCATATCAACACATAATTACTGTACGATTGGCTTCCCTTTGGAAGTGAAGGCATTGAATGCCATTGAAATGCATTGAAATCCCATTGAAATCATGCATTGAATGCATGACATGAGCGCCAATGGACTCCGCTTTGTATTGTCAACAATCACTGGTTGACCGCATCTCATGATCACCGCATCTGATCCCTGCTCTTTGATCCCCCGCTTGACGTGTGATAATCGGTGCCGAAGACAATGTCGGGTAACTTGAAGTCAGTCATTGGCAACGTTAAAGAGTTGGTCATCAAAATCAAGACCAAACGTGACTTCATTTTGCGTGAATTGGACGGAAGACAATGCGTGGACACCCGACTCATGGAACTGTTGCTCAACTCGTTTGTGGACCAAATACTGGACGGACAGGATGTGAAGCCCGAGGCGGACATTGTGGCCAATATCAGGAACTATAGGCAGTGCTCGCATCCCAACGCCGGCTCAGCCGCCGATCCGGAGCTCAACAAACAGATCAAACTCTTGGAGACCAAACTGGAGATCGAGAAGAGCGACAATCAGTCACTGCATAGACGTCTTCAGACGTTTGGGGCGAAAGAAACTGATTATAAGAAACTAATTAAAACGCTTACCGATCGGATCGAGAAGTGAGTTCTTTCGTGTGATTGTCTTTGAAGTTTATATTAATTATTTGTTTGGTTTTGTGGCCACAGATATAAAGCGAATGAAACCAAACTCAACACTCGTATTAATGAGTTGAGCAGTAGATCCGATGCCGACACGAGTGACCAATCGATTGGCGAACGTCTCAGAAATGGTGGTCACGAAGAGCTCGCGAGACGAAGGATTTCATTTCAGGAAAGCCCTAAAAAGGCGGAAAAGCCGCCCGAAGTGCCACCAGTTGTACCACCAGTAGTGCCACCAGTAGTTCCAGCAGTAGTTCAAGCAGTTCCACAATTACTAATTCGATTAGTAATGCCACCAGAAGTACCACAAGAAGTGCCCATAGATTCAGACTCAGACTCAGACCAAGAGGATCAGTTGATTAAGATGTGTTTGAGCTCAAAGCCGTTTATCAAAATGGGCGCCAAAATCAATCCGACTCTCATTGAGTTGGATAACGAAGAGACCATTGAATTGGATAACGAAAATACGGATATTGAAGACCAGGACAACAATACGTCCAACGAGTCAGTTGTGGTCACTGAGAGGCCCACGCCGTCGGAACAGACGAACGGAAATCATCGGGCAATGCGTGCGGTCGACAACAGTCCCAAAGGAAAGGGTCCCAAATACTCGGTCCGACACACGGAGAGGGGTTGCGTGTGCTATGAGTGCAACACTACTGGCTGTGACTTTATGACCCTATCGTTGAAACACGTGCGCTATCACTGTCGCAACGAGTGCGCCGGCCTTCACTCGCCGGTGTGTCACATGTGTAACCTGTCGTTCGCCTCCCAGTCGGAGCTCGACCTACACCTGTCCACAGACCATATCGTTAACTCTCATCTCTCGCCGCCCAGAGTCAAGACATCGCCGCCCGACGTGCGCACCGCCACTCACGGGTCACGCACTCGTGTGATGTCCGACCGTTGCGAACGACAGTTGCGTCGGAATCGCAAACAAACCCAACTCTTCGCCCCTGTGTTCCCACCGAAGAGAGTGAAACGCGAGATCTTCTGATAACTTGCGGTGATTTCTTCGCACGTTTTGTTGAATTACAAATTCATGTCATGTTTTGCGGTTCACTATTACTAAACAATCCGTATTTATATTTAGTATTTAACGAATTAATTTATTGCCAAAATTTTATGCTTTACCGATATATTGATTGCATAGTGAATGCCTGTTGTGTGGGTTGGGAGGGATGGGAAAGGGGTTGGGATAGTGTCAGACTTAATGTGTTAATTATGTGATTGTATTGATATCTGTTTCGATTTAATGACGTTATTTAATAATAATTATTTTCATGTGTTAATGAATTTTATGATAATCTTAATTCAATTTATTATTTTTTGTTTATAATTGTATTTATGATAATTTTTAGAAACTTAAATCATTTCCTATTCTATCAATTTTGATGACAATATTTCAACATTTTCTTTGACTTTTAAATTTTAAAAATTTTGTTTATTATATAAATTCTGTAAAAATAAAGCTTTACTTTCATATAATTAATAATAATTGTGCCGATAATTGTATAATCAGTTGTTGTAATCGTTGGCATTGAAGCGTTTTGGCCGCAAATTATTGCTAAATTATCTCATGATATGTTCTTATCGTAGGAAATGAATGAACATTTTGTGCGGTAATTGTGTGGAACAAAGTGTACAAATTTGGGTGCAAATACTGTTCAAATGTTATCCATATTATGAAACATTTTAAATGAATGATAACGAAAATTATGATGAAATTAATTTTTAATTATTTGATACGAAAAAATATGTTAAACATATGACATGTTATTTCTTAATGCCTTGATCTTAAAACTTATAAATATTATACTAATATCCTTCATTTCATCTTAATAATATCATTTTAATTACCATATTGTATTTATTAGTAAAGAATTATCAATAACATTAATTAGTTTACTAAATATTTATAACACATACCGTAATTATTTAAATATTGTTTAGTTTAAAATAACTTCTCATTTGTGAACATTTGCTTAAATATGAAATAGTTTTTGTAATTCAATTCCGCAAAACCCTAAGAATAGGAATAAATAAAAATTAGTAAAACATATAAAGAGCCTGAATATAATGTAAATTCATGAATACCATCATCACTTGTT